ATTGTCCACCACCACTGGATGTGGCAGGACTGTTTAGCTTAGATCTAGTCTTTTGGTTGTGGAATTGCTTAGCTCTGTCTATGACTTGCTGCTTATTCTGTTTGGTAGCTTCACTAGACTGAATCTCATTTTTAGCTGTTGCTTGACTGGTCTGCGAGGCAGCCCTCCCAATTTTGGCACAAGCCTCCAGATGTTGGCGGAGGACTTTGCAGGTTTGACAGGGCTGTTTATGCCATTGTCTCTTCTTGGTGCCTAGGTTGACACTACGTGGGTCCATCTTATTTCATTTCTTTGATGAGACTTTGTAGCAACTGATACAATTGAGTGGCTTGCTTGGCCATTTCAGAGAACAGTTAAGAGTCAACCACATTGCTGTGGGTTTGAAGTCATGTATAGGCCAGACCAGGTGAGGATCTGGCAGAAACAAATACAAAAGTTGCTTGAAACGCTCAGCAGGTCTGGCAGCATCTGTGAAGAGAAATCAGAATCAACATTTCAGGCCAGGTGACCATTCCTCGCGAGAATGGAAGATTTCATGACAATGAGAATTTCAATGACATTAGTGAGCCAAATGGGTTTTGTCTGACAATTATCATGGTCATCAGTAAATAATTAATTCCAGGTTTTTTTTGTAATGAATTCAAATTCCACTATCTACCATAGCAGGATTTGAACCCCAGTCCCCAGAACCTTAGCTGAGTTTCTGGATCAATAGTCTTGCGAAAGTACCACTAGGCCATCACCTCCCCTATAACAAGTGGGGTGCCACAGATTCTGACCTCCAGCACCAACTATTTACAATCTATATTAATGACTTGAATGTAGGGTTGAATATAGTATAGCCAATTTGCAGTTGACATTAAAATAAGTGGGAACATCAGTTGCAAAGGAGAAATAAGAAACTTTAAATGGATATAGAAAGATGATGTGAATGGGCCAAAATTTAGCAGATGGAGTTTAATGTGGATAAGTGTAAGGTTATTCATTTTGGTTAGAAGAATAAAAAGGCAACTTATTATTTAAAAGGACACAAACTTCAAAATGTTTGGGTGCAGAGGGATCTGGGTATCCTTTTGCATAAGTTACAGAGAGCTTGTGTACAGCTACAGCAGGTAATGAAGGCAAATGGAATTTTGCATTTCTTGCTAAAGAAATGCAGTATAAAAGTAGAGAAGTGTTGCCAGACCATAAGACATAGGAACAGATCAGGCCATTTGGCCCATCAAGTCTGCTCTGCCATCCGATCATGGCTTTTATGCTTCTCAACCCCATTCTCCTGCCCTTTCCCCATAACCCTTGATCCTCATACTAATCAAGAACCTATCTATTTCAGTCATAAATAAACTCAATGACTTGGCCTCCACGGTCCCCTGCGGCAATGAGTTCCATGGATTAACCACCCTTTGGCTGAAGACATTTCTTGTCGTCTCAATTCTAAAGGGTTGTCCCTTCACTCTTGAGGCTGTGCCCTCAGGTCCTTGTCTCTCTATTAGTGGACACATCTTCTCCACGTCCACTCTATCCAGGCCTGTCAGTATTCTCTAAGTTTCAATCAGAGGTGAGATAAGAGTGACATCAAGGCTGCATTCAAATGAGTGTGGCATCAAGGAGTGCTAGCAAAACCAGAATCAATGGGTATCAAAGGAAAACTCTCCACTGGTTAGAGTCATACCTTGCATATAGTAATGTGGTCATGGCTGCTGGAGGTCAGTTATCTCAGCTCCAGGACATCTCTGCAGGAGTTCCTCAGGGTAGTCCCCCTGGGCCCAAACATCTTCAGTTGCTTCATCAATGGCCTTCCCTCCATCATAAGGTCAGACATGGGGATGTGCTCTGATAATTGCACAATGTTCAGCACCATTCACGACTCCTCAGATACTGAAGCAGTCCATGTTCAAATGCAACAAGATCTGGACAATTTCCAGGCTTGGGCTGACACGTGGCAAGTAACATTTGCACCACACAAATGCCAGGCAATGACCATCCCCAATAAGAGACAATCTAACCACCACCCCTTGACATTCAATGGTGTTACAACCAGTGAATCCCCCACTATCCAACATCCTGGGGGTTACCATTGACCAGAAACTCAACAGAACTCACCACATAAACACAGTGGCTGCAAGAAGAGGTCCGAGGTTAGGAATACTTAAGTTAATAACTCACCTCTTAACTCCCCAAAGCCTGCCCATCATTCAGAAGGCACAAGACAGGCACGTGATGGAAAACTTCCTATTTGCCTGGATGGGTGCGGGTCCAACAACACTCAAGAAGCTTGACATCATCCAGGACAAAGCAGCCCGCTGGATTGGCACTACATCCACCAGTATCCACCTGCTCCAACTCTGACGCTCAGTAGCTGCAGTATATACTATCTACAAGATGCACTACAGAAATTCACCCAAGATCCTCAGACAGCATCATCTAAACCCATGACCACTTCTATCTAGAAGCACAAGGATAGCAGATACATGGGAACACCACCACCTGTAAGTTCCCCTCCAAGCCACTCATGATACTGACTTGGAAATATATCGCTGTTCCTTCACTGTCATCAGATCAAAATGCTGGAATTCCCTCCCTAATGGCATTGTGAGTCAACCCACAGCAGGTGGACTAGAGCGGTTCAAGAAGGCAGCTCACCACCACCTTCTCAAGGGCAACTAGAGATGTGCAATAAATGCTGGCTAGTCAGCGATGCCCACATCCCACAAATGAATAAAAAAATTAGATCCCCCCTCATCCATCAAGTACAGACCTAGAGTCCCCAACTGCTCCTCATATGACAAGCCCTTCATCCCCAGGATCATTCTTGTAAACCTCCACTGGATCCCCTCCAATGCCAGCACATCCTTCCTTTCATATAGGGTCCAAAACTGTTCATAATATTCTAAGTATTGTCTGCAAGAGACTTATACAGTTTCAGCAATACATTTCTGCTCCTGTATTCTAGTCCCCTTGAAATGAATGTTAACATTGCATTTGCCTTCCCAACTTCCAAATGAACCTGCACAATAACTTTAACAGAATGCTAACTAGGACTCCCAAGTCCCTTTATGCTTCAGATTTCCAAAGCCTTTCTCCGTTTAGAAAATAGTCCATGCCTCTAATCTTCCATAATGCAATTGTACAAGGCATTAGTGAGACTGTATCTGGTATGCTATGTACAGTTTTGGTCCGCTTACTTGAAGAAAGACATAATTGAGGGAAGGTTCACCAGATTAATTCCAGAGATGAAAGGCTTGTCTTATGAGAAGAGATTGAGCAATTTAGGCCTATACTCTCTAGAGTTTAGAAAGATGAGAGGAGATTTAATTGAGATATCTCAGATGCTAAAGACTGATTTAGTTTTATGGGGCTAAGAGGAGCAGGAGTGTTAATATTTGTGCACATTAATGCCAGATGTTAGTTACACCTGGCCCCAAAATAAACCAGGCATTATGCTGACTGTCAGGAGTGGATGAGGGGGCGATGGGATTCTGCTCCGACTCTTGACTGTCTAAAACATGCATTCAAAGGAAATCCTGTCCTAATACTTTCTACAAGTATTGGCCTGGCTCACTCAGTGCAGATAAAACAGTACTTTGCATGAGCTGGCTTGTTCCTAATACAACATTTAAACTAGATTCCACTTATCTGTTCAGGTGGATATAAAGTACCTGAGGAAAGATCAAGTAGTCTTGCTGGTATCCTTGGTCAACAGCTTGAGCTTGTAACTCTTCTTTCTCATGCTATATGCCTCCACCAGATTATCTGGTTATGTGTCTCAGTTACTGTTTGTGGAACCCTGCTATATGGAAATCAGCTGCTGTGTCAGCCTATATAATAATTGTGATTGCACTTCCTGTAGAACACTTTGAGCCAATTTAACATAAAGCACTACATAATTTAAATAATTTTTTCATTGCTTTCCACAAATGTGCACTTATGCGCCCCTTTCAGGTGATGAATGTGCGGGTGAAATAAACACTGGGCAGATTCATACAGAAGTCCACTGAGAGAATACAGATACTCTGGCTCTAATGTGCATTGTTCTTGAGGGTTCCTTTGATTCTTTATACTCTGCCAAGGACGACATACATTTGCAACAGGCATTCAAAACCTAATTAACAGGAAGTGTATACAATGTGAACTTTTTATATTACTTGCAGATCCCAAGGCTTTGTCCATGGTGAGTTAAAAAATATACTGTATTGCGACTAAAGATGTTTTACCTATGAACAATTACAGCCACAACATATTAGCAGAGCCAAGAGTTTATAATAACAGCGTAAGTCAACTTCTATTTTCATTGCATGATATTCTGGTAATTTTGATAAAATGCTGCAAGTCGTTAGATTTTCCATAGAAACTGTGACCTTAAAGAAATATTTGCTTTTTTTACTGTTTCTTTTAAAGTCATGGGTAACAGCATATTATCATAAGACTAGAAGACTGAGGAACGTGGTAGGAAATAAAACTGACTGGTTTTAAATATGCGATTTAGGAGTAGTGATGGGGGAGAGATTGTGGGAATTACAAACAGATACAAGTGTTGGGCTTGTGTAACACTGCTGTGTATGTTATGGCATAAGCTAAAGGGGAATCCAGAAGAATTTTATAGCGGTGGGAGCATGTTACACGTGCTTGGTTTACTGGTGGAATTACTGAGATCCAGCAGTAATATGTGAGGGATTCCCAGTCATCTCCTTTCATTCAATGCTGCAAGGGCAAGTGGGGAGCTAAATGTGTTGTATGTTATCTCATCATAACATATCTGCCAATTTTCTGTCAGAAACAGAAAGGGCTCCAAGATTGGTATAATAAAGCCCCACTCAAAATCACACAAATGCCATTTGGCCATCTTTCCCTTCTTGACGCTAATGCCACGTGTTTTCAGCTCCAGGAAGGTTAAACATGATCAAGAAAGCATAAGAAAGTATTATTGGAAGTGTTACATTTACAGAAAGTTCATACAATATATATACATATATACACAAAACACAGAAAAGAGACAGTACCTTCCTCAGTCAAATACTTTGTAAGTTCCTCTTGGGTAAGATATCCTTTTTTAGTTTGATCTAACACCTGGGGATGAAATATAGCAGTGACATAAAAAGGTTGATGATTAAAATTAATGGATATTTACAGATTTTGGGTTTTACTTTTGATATTTTCTCAAATACAATGTGAGATATTCCGGTAAGCAGTCTGAACCTCTCACGTTTGGAGATGCCCCAGTGACACCCTAACACTGAACTAGTATGATACTGTAGCCCAGGAGTGTAAATAAATCTGATCCAAACTGGTCTTTTCATGGTGCATGTGTGACCTACCCTAAGCATTTCTAATCATTTTGAAGCAATGTACTTGGCAAGGTGAGGCCAGGCAGTAATTGTTGAACTGCTTCATTTCACTGATAGCAAGTGAGTAACAGTCAAAGTAAATAACACAAAGCAAATATTCAGCCAGATGTCCTGTTCCTTCCTTGCTTTTGGCAGTGCCTTTCTTTCCAATTACTTTTAACAACAAAAACTGATGTGCTGTTATTTGACCTTCACTTTCTAAAGATTATGTTGTACGTAGAATTTACCACATGGAAACAGGCCACTTGTCCAACTGGTCTATTTTCACAAGGTCTTCTTCCCATCCATGTCATCTAAACTTATTGCCTGGTGAGAGTGTTGAGATGCTTGACTTCCCGCCTGTAGTAGTCTGCCAGGTGTATTGATAAAAAAACTTCTCACCCCCTTCAGGTACAGTTCAAAAGGCCATCTTTTGCCATTCATCTTAGGTATATCCAACCAATGGGTCTGGGATGAGATGTGATGAAACCTTTGACTCAGCTTGAAACAGACAGTGAACTGCGACGTTTCACAAATTGCACTGTCTGGTTTCAGTGCCTGCAAATCTCACAGCGGATCTGTTGGAGATCTGGAGCTCATTTCCTGCAGGGGTGTTAGAAGCAGAAATCTTCATCACAGACCAAGTGCTGAAAAGTTGGTTTAGACTGTATAGCTATTTTTCAGCCAGCAAGGACAAGATTGGGCTGAAATGTCTCCTTCTAGGCTGTTTATCTTAAAAATTTCTTAATTTTTTGCATTCTAAATGAATAATAATCAGAAGTGTTGAAACTAGAAAGTATGCTATTGCAAAATAGGCTTTATGATATGGAATTTAAAATTCAATCGTACCTCAAATGCTCGCAAAATAACATCCTCCGGTTGGGGTCTGTATCTATAAAGGAAAAGTAGAAAAAATGCACGTTAAGAAAAAGCTTTGCATTTATTTAGCACCACTGCAACCTCAAGACATCCCAAACACCCTAAAGCCAATTTGAAGAATAGTCACTGTTGTAATGGTGAATCATTATAATTCAGGACATTAGCCACTGAATATAGGGAAGCTTTAAGGTAGCGTGGCAGTTGGGCAGCACTCTGTGCTGTGCTGTTCATTGTTTTTATGAATTAATTAGACAAAGGAATTGTGCCTAATGTTCCAAACAGATGTTACTGAATTGAAGAATATCAATGAATATCAATGTGCACAGCTACAAAAAGGATTTGAGAAGCTCCATTGGTAACAGAAAAATTGCAGATGTAATTCATTATGGAAAATGTAACAAATTGAGATTTGGCAGAGATGAGGTTGATGTTTGGTTAAGTGATTAGTGGAAATTCAAGCAGCAGTTTGAATAAAATATGAACTTTTAGAAGTACAGAACACAAAGGGATACTACATACAGGACATTAGGGTTCAGTTTCAAACTGCATGTAGCCTTGGTGAGACTATGGGTAGAAATGGATCAAACTTCTTGACCATTTTCCAAATCAAACATCCTAACCACCAGGGCATTTTGCAATGAAAGGTTCCTGTGCTGAAATGATAATATATATATATGAAATATCTATTACTCATATGTTTATATAGATGTCCTTGGTAGCTGTCTAAAACAAACACAGGTTTTGATCAATGATTGAAACTCGTTAGTTAAATTGGTATCAGTGCATGCATGAATCAGCACCTCTTAAGTCCACTCAGCAAATCATGGTAGGAACTGATAAGAAATGGTCTTCAGATGCATTTTTGAAAGGGATTCTCACCAATTCCATTTAGGAAGGCATGGACTGCGTATCAGCGATACACAAGAGAAATTCCACCAGCAATGCCTTTGTGTCATCCTCCACATTCAATGGAAGGGGTGGGAGCAGCTCATTGAACAAATGCCTGTGTGCTTCTTGAATCCAACTGTACAAGTATTCAGGCAAAACTGCAAAATTGACTACGATGAACTGTACATCTTGTCTCAATAGCTGAAAATCACCTTCCCTGCTAGATTTGTTTTCTCAATTCTTTACTGGCCACTGTTCTGAGGAGGGAAAGAAAATGCTGCAAAGACACTCTAAGTCTCCCCTTGAAGCATAGTAGCATTGACATTAACAACTGGGAGGAGCTTGCTACCAATGTCCAAAATGGTGACAACTCATCTGTTGACCTACATCATGCTTTCAATCCAAATACCTTAAAGACAATGCAGAATAGCAGCTAAGAAGGAAAGTAAAGGAAGCAAGTCTTGCTCTCCAGAACACAATGCCTCATGTGATGTTATGAATATCTCCAAAGATCAGTCACATGAAGACCTATTGCCGAAACGCACTAGCCTGAGGAGACAGCATCCTTGAATTGAGGGACATTCAACAACGGCTATTAAGGACTTTCTGCAAATTAAGATGTAGGCACAAATTTTGGCCAAGGAAAAGTCCATGTCGGATGGTCAATGGAAGGTCTGCCAGGACAACAATGGAATAGTCAAGTCTCGAGGTAACAGGAACATGAATGGGGGTTTCAGTAGCAGGTGAGTTGGAGCTCAGGCATTGATGAAGGTGGGCAATATTATGTAAGTGGAAGTACACATTCTTGGTGATAGAGGAGAGCTGTAGGAAAGCTCACCTTGGGCACAATCAGAACATCAAGGGTCTAAATAGTCTGATTTAGATGCAGGTCATTAGCAGAAAGGGACAAAATTGGTAGCCAGAGAAAAAGTTTGTTGTGGAGACAAAAAAAAAAAAAGAGGATTTCCATTCGCTCAATGCAGCTAATAGTTAATTCAGCAGCGGGAGTCGTGAGAGCACGAGCCAGGGGGCAGCTGGGAAGGTAAGGTTTCAGTATAAAAAACTTTCCCCGTGAATACGTGGAGCGAAGGCTGAGCAGGAGCAAACGTGGACACGGGGACTGCTGGGCAAGTGAACTAATATATTCGGGCAGTGGCAGTATCCATTGGGAAACCTTCTGGGGAAGATGGGACCTGTACAAGAAGGACGGGTTGCACCTGAACTGAAGTGGCACCAATATCCTGGGTGGGAGGTTTGTTAAGCTCTTTGGAAGGATTTAAACTAGTTTGGCAGGGGGATAGAAACCAGAGCTACTGATCAGAGGATGGGGTAGCTGGTGTATAGGCAGATACAGCATGCAGAGAGTCTGTGAGGAAGGACAGACAGTTGATAGGGCAAAGTTGCAGTCAGTGTGATGGGTTGAAGTGTGTCTATTTTAACACAAGAAGTGTCAGGAGTAAGGGTGATGAACTTACAGCATGGATCAGTACTTGGACTATGATGTTGTGGCCATTACGGAGACTTGGATATCACAGGGGCAGAAATGGTTATTGGATGTTCCGGGGTTTAGATGTTTCAAAAGAAATAGGGAGGGAGGTAAAAGAGGTCAGGGAGTGGCATTGCTAATCAGGGATGGTATCACAGCTGCAGAAAGGGAGGTCGTCGAGGAGGGTTTGTCTATTGAGTCAGCATGGGTGGAAGTCAGAAACAGGAAAGGAGCAGTCACTTTACTGGGAGTTTTCTATAGACCACCCAATAGCAACAGAAACACTGAGGAACAGATTGGGAGGCAGATTTTGGAAAGGTGCAGAAGTAATAGGGTTGTTGTCATGGGTGACTTCAACTTCCCTAATATCGACTGGAACCACCTAACTGCAAATAGTTTGGATGGAGCAGATTTTGTGAGGTGTGTCCAGGAAGGATTTCTGATTCAATAAATAGATAGGCCAACAAGAGGGGAGGCCATATTGGATTTGGTGCTTGGCAACAAACCAGGCCAGGTGTTAGATCTCTCGGTGGGAGAGCATTTTGGTGATAGTGATCACAACTCCCTGACCTTTACTATAGTCGTGGAGAGAGATAGGAGCAGACGGTATATGGAAGTATTTAATTGGGGGAGGGAGAATTACAATGCTATTAGGCAGGAACTGAGGAGCATAAATTGGGATCAGGTGTTCTCAGGGAAATGCACGACAGAAATGTGGAAGTTGTTTAGGGAGCACTTGCTGCAAGTGCTGGATAGGTTTGTCCCTCTGAAGCAAGGAAAGGATGGAAAGGTGAAGGAACCTTGGATGACAAGACATGTGGAACAGCATGTCAAGATGAAGAAGGAAGCTTACTTAAGGTAGAGGAAGCAAAGAACCGGACAGGGCTCTAGAGGGTTACAAGGTAGCCAGGAAGGAACTGAAGAATGGACTTAGGAGAGCTAGAAGGGGGCACGAAAAAGCCTTGGCATGTAGGATTAAGGAAAACCCCAAGGCGCTCTATACTTATGTGAGGAACAAGAGGATGGCCAGAGTGAGGGTACGGCCAATCGGGGATAGTGGAGGGAACTTGTGCCTCGAGTTGGAGGAGGTAGGAGGGGTCCTTAATGAATACTTTGCTTCAGTATTCACCAGAGAGAGGGACCTTGACATTTGAGGACAGCATAAAACAGGCAGATATGCTTGAACAGGTTGATGTTAGGAAGGAGGATGTGCTAGAAATTTTGAAAAACGTGAGGATAGATAAGTCCCCTGGGCCAGATGGGATATACCCAAAGTTACTACAGGACGTGAGGGAAGAGATTGCTGCGCTTTTGGAGATGATCTTTGCGTCCTCACTGTCCACTGGAGTAATACCAGATGATTGGAGTGTGGCAAATGTTAATCCCTTGTTCAAGAAAGGAATAGGGATAATCCTGGGAATTACAGACCATCAGTCTTACTTTTGTGATGGGCAAATTATTGGAGAGGATTCTGAGAGATAGTATTTATGATTATTTGGAAAAAGCATAGTTTGATTAGAAATAGTCAGCATGGCTTTGTGAGGGGCAGGTCTCATGAGCCTTATTGAATTCTTTGAGGGTGTGACAAAGCACATTGATGAAGGTAGAGCAGTGGATGTGGTGTATATGGTTTTTAACAAGGCATTTGATAAGGTTCCCCATGGTAAGCTCATTCAGAAAGTAAGGAGGCATGGGATTCAGGGAAATTTGGCTGTCTGGATACAGAATTGGCTGTCCAATAGAAGACAGAGGGTGGTAGTAGATGGAAAGTTTCCAGCCTGGAGCTCGGTGACCAGTGGTGTTCCACAGGGATCTGTTTAGCACCTCTGCTCTTTGTGATCTTTATAAATGACTTGGATGAGGAAGTAGAAGGATGGGTTAGTAAGTTTGCTGATGATATGAATGTTGGTAGAGTTGTGGATAGTGTGGAGGGCTGTTGCAGGTTGCAACGGGATATTGACAGGATGCAGAGCTGGGCAAAGAAGTGGCAGACGGCATTCAACCGAGAAAAGTGTGAAGTGATTCATTTTGGAAGGTCAAATTTGAATGCAGAATACAGGGTTAATGATAGGATTCTTGGCAGTGTGGAGGGGTTGGCTTTCATTGGCAGGGGAATTGAGTTTAAGAACTGCGAGGTTATGCTGCAGCTCTATAAAGCCCTGGTTAGACCACACTTTGAATATTGTGCTCAGTTCTGGGCACCTTATCATAGGAAGGGTGTGGAAGCTTTAGAGAGGGTGCAGAGGAGATTTACCAGAATGCTGCCTGGACTGGAAGGCAGGTCTTATAAGGAAAGGTTAAGGAAGCTAGGGCTTTTTTCATTGCAACGAAGACGGATGAGAGGTGACTTGTAGAGGTGTGCAAGATGATGAGAGGCACAGATAGAGTGGATAACCAGAAACTTTTTCCCAGGGTGGAAATGACTATCAAGAGGGGACATAATTTTAAGGTGATTGGAAGAAGGTATAGGGAGGATGTGAGAGGTAGGTTCTTTACACAGAGAGTGGTGGGTGCGTGGAATTCACTGCCAGCAGTGGTAATAGAGTCAAGTACATAGGGACATTTAAGCGACTCTCGCATAGGCATATGGATGATAGTAAAATGAAGAGTATGCAGGTTAGTTTGATCTTAGAGTAGGC